AATAATATATTTGTTCAGATTTAATCTGATGGGGAAAAACACAGGAGGCAGCAACTGAAAAATAGGAAGATTTAAAACATACAGGCTAGGCTATAGATCAAAGACATAAAGACATGACTGTAAACTCACAGTCTGACCCAGTAATAATATGTTTGGTGATTTGCACTTGAAAAGACGTTGAGGTTAAAATACAGTAGATTTTAAAATGTTGCACATCTATTTGTATCTTGACTCAACAGCATTCAGTGACTTAATTTCAGCTACAAATGTAGTAAATTTAAAGACACTGAAATGCTGCACCATTGCTCACTCAGAAATATTAACATATAATCCCCAATATTAGGCTGTAGGAATTATGTTCCATCAGTGCGACCAATGACATCAGTGACAGAGATCATTAGTCATTGATACTACGTGTCTAAAGCTTCATACCGATTTTTAAAATTTAAATAATTAGACCTACACATTATGTGCAATAAACATTTCGGAGCTGCTCTAACAGACTGACAGTCTGATCCTTGTGCACAGTGTTAAAAAAATAATAAATATAAAAAGGACAGAGGTTTGATTCTGAGGATGAATTCTTGCTGTGTAATATTTGAATGTAAAGACAAAAACTGAGGTCCAAAGAAATGACTGATGTGCATAAATTCAGTAACTTAAGACAGTCCTGAGTAACAAACTAATATCCAGCAGGATTTAGACTGTGACAGATGGTAAATCTCCGCTAATTAATGTGCTTCGATACAAGCTTTGACACGGACTGAACGAATGAAGAAATGAAACAGCGTGTAAGAGGGAGGAGACAGAGAAAAACTCAGGGTTTATTGAAGAAAACCTGTCAGCGAGCAGATTATGTTCACAGAGTCTGTTACCATGGTGACTGACTCAGAGTTTCAGGTACCTCTCTTTCTGGAACAGATAACTCAGAGTTTCCCTCATCTCAGGGTTAACTTACTCTGAGTTTTCACATAACCCGCTTTCTGGAATACCCCCCAGAACAAAAAGGGATTGTTTCTGTTGACAAAGGTACCATTGATATGAGAAACAAAACCACAAGAGTTAAATGTTTGCCGAACGTGTTAGTATCTCTTAATAAGTCATCAGAAATCGGAAATCATCTTTTGAAGGAGCAAATGTTTACCTTAAGCTGGCTCGGGCCATGTTAAAGTTCACAATATTTTAACGGAGCAAGGCAAGCTAATTGCTAGCAAGCTCAGTTGAAAAGGGAAGAAAAAAACCCAATGATGATCACATAATCCCATTTGAGCTATAACAGGTGGTGTGCTCCATGTTTTATTTCCCACATGCTCATGGAAAGAAGTATAGAGTACTGTAAACTAATTGTTAACACTGGAAATCACCGGTTTCAGTGTAACGTTGGAAGTTGCACACATAACTCACGCAAGGTATCATGGGGGCGAGGAATAAAGTGGCTGTCTTAGGACTGTTTTATTTGTTGAACAAGGCCAGCATGCATATTACACCAGTTACTGTATGAGATGGTTTCACAGAAGTGTTAAGTATTAAAAGTGCATAAAAACGCTGTTTATAGTTGACTCCGGTTCACTTTTGTTTAATAGGCAGTTGGCTAGCCAAAACTCTGCCATGGTACTTGGTGCCTGAGCTCATTTCTATGCATTGATTTCAATATTCTTGTCATTAATAATAAGGTGGTTGGTTGCACTGGAAAAGTGTTGCCTTGATTGTGCCTGGTGTGTGTGTTTGTGTGCGTGGGGCCACACACAGCACTTGCAAGACCAGGATGTCAACAGAATCCATTCCCATGCCGTACACCCACTCACTCCCATTACTGACACTGACCTCTGTGTGATCTCAGGAAGTAATTTAAGTAATTCCCTCTGTTTTACTGGTCCAAAAAAAATGGCGTAAAGCTCCTTAGAAGTTACTCAGATTTATACACCATTGGGGATTAAATTCAGTAACTGCCCGGGCCACAATATGAAGAGGGGAGTTGATCAAGAGAAGAAGCAGAGCAATGCAGCTTAATACAATATGCGCTGTTTAGTGCCTCGTTGCAGCTTGTGGACTGGGAGGTTTTATAACAATTCATTGTTCATTGTTGAGCTGTAAAGTCATGCATTGTGAATTGGCAAGCCAAAAGTGTAGATAATATTATTTTATTATAATCTCTGCTCTAATATTTGAGTGCAGCAGTATATGGTGTGGTGTTGTGTGTGGAATAATGTATAAAGAGGAATTTATTTCATGTCATGCAGTCAAAATGTTAATTAACAACATTTTTAATAATAGATTAATTGCAGATTTTGTCTTAAGTAAGCACAAATGCACAACAAATGGTCTGTATGGTCTGCTGAATTGATTAAAACAATTCATTAACACAAAGCAACCTATTTTGTGACAGGAATAAGATGTTTCCTCCAGACCACCATTCATCCTCCTATTGATACCTTGAAATCAGACAAAACATATTGGGGAAATGGTAGGAATAGATGATTGGACGTGTCAGCTTTTAGGCTTCCTTTTTCTCTAACAAACAACAGCACCTGTTTGTCATTAACAGTTGGCTCTGGACTCCCATCGCTCTTGAGAGGAACCTAGGAACTAGTCATTTCTTAAAGCTGAGTCTGCAGCAGTTTTTAATGACTCATTATCTTATGATCTGTTGGGTCTCATGCTGGCCTGCTGAGTGCTATCCTAGTTTCACCACATTAAAAAAAGTATTCATCTCTCTCACAGAAACATAAAGGCCTTTTGATAGGCCTGCCTGTGACTTGGCAAGAAACAAGGACGTGTGCATGTCACAAGGGATGGAAATGGTTTTGTTGATAAATAGTTTATCTGTGTGTGTGTGTGTGTGTGTGTGTGTGTGTGTATGTGTGACACTCAACCGTCTTTATATTTCTGCAGAACTCACTCGCACAGTTTCCTTGGACGTCAAATAAAAACACCAACATGAGTCTAACTCAGGGTTTATCCTGACTCAAAATGAGGTGGAGGTGGTACCATCCTGATCATAGACACACCCATGTGTACCATGCCATCACTTTTTACAAGCAATGTATTTTAAGACTTCTAATATTGATTTATAATTGAATGATTGAAAATAATTTTTGGCTGAATTTGTTATAAGGATAGTCAGTGGTGTCCATGATGTGAATTCCTGGATATTAGTGTTCATCTGCAATTTTCTGCGGTGGTCCCAGTAGTATTTGTGTTTTACTGAAGTAGCTTATCATACTGTATGTCCTGGATAAGCTATGGTTAAGACTGGGAACATGACCACAAATACTGAATATCTTGTAAAACGATTTGGTTCTGCTGGCAAAATATTATTTACACAAATGTAGATCCCCTCCTGTTCTTGAAGCATTTAAAAAATAATTTAAACAAATAACTGTATATTAAGTAATCTCTTTCACAATTTTACAAGAAACTTTTATGAGACACTATATTTTTTTTATATTGTTTTATATAATGGATTTTGATGATTCATAAGTATATGTGTCAGTCATGTTATCATGTATTGTAATGAACTAATATCATGTTTTACAGATGTCTGAATGTTTGTACTGATTAAGGGGGAAAAAGTTCATGAAAAAAGCTTTTTTTTTCGTATATTTCTGATGTAAACGTTGTCGTCGCTCAATACGACAGACATTGGGTCCGCACTATTACTATACTGGCGTACGCCTGTGCCTCACCGAGTAGGCGGAGTCTGCACACCACTTTGACAGTTTCTGTAACCGTCAGATTCGCAGGATCCACTACTTAATATCAGCGGCAGAGCGGCGGTAACGACATCACAACCACATGGCCCATACAAACACAAACAAGTCAATGGAGATTGATTAAACATAGAACTGATGAATGTCAGATTCTGTCACAGTCCTACTGTGAACATCACTGTTCATGTTGTCTCTGAGGAAAGCTACCATGTCTTTTGTTCTATTGGCTTACATTGTTGTTTGTTTTGTCAGCGGGTTTGGTGACGCAGACTTACAGATCACACTCCACTAAAACAGCTTTCCCGGCCCTCACCATAATGTGTTAAGCGGTGAACTGTACTGACTATGATCGTGCCACCAAATGGGCGTAATGCTGTAGTTACAAATGAGAAAAATCCACCAAATGCAACGCCTATTAGAAAATTGTGTTTTCCATTGTGACACACATCAGAATTTTTATCGAGAGCTGGAGGTGGGACAAAACTTGACGGAGGCGGCTTCCTCCTAATTCTCTATGCAGGAAAAACCCTGTAACTGCTAGATTATAGTTTATTAAACACATTTTTTGACATTACAGAAAGAAGACGAAACCATACAGGAAATACACTCCTATGATAAAATCTTCACTTATAATGTTTTATAAGTGTGTTTTCAGTTATAAACAGACAATAGAACCTTTCACTCATCTATTTATATTTGTCAGTCAGAACAATACATTCTGTTCATCTATCAGCCAGAGGATGAATCAGTAGGGAGTCATTACTATTAGATTAGATATATCACATCATGACAATGTTGGATGAATGAAGCGGAGAGCTTTATAATCATACCATAGCAGTGCATTTTATATACATAAAGCCGTATTGCTCAGTTCCAATAATTTGGAAAAAAAACCCTCTTCTTTATCACAAAGCTGCCATTTTGTAAAGCCCAGATTTTTGGTGAAACGCAACTCCTTAGACCACCCTTCCTGGTATAACATAGAGCGGTCTTTCTGTGTTTGATAGAGCTGCACAATTGATCAAAATATTACTGAAATTGTAATATAGCCAGGTGTAATATCCACATCACTGGAGCTGCAATTTTTTGATAAGGGTGTAATGATGTGTGACAACACACCATTATAAATGAAGCAATGGGGTGTTAAAGAGATGCCCCGGCCTACAAATCATATTCAAGACATGAGGGAGCTGGCTTGTTTGGTACGGTCCTCAGCAAAAATCAGACAGGTAAAATTGTTTTTTAAAGCATGCGCCTGAATGGAGCTCAAAGTCAGAAAGTTTGCAGATTTTCAGTCCAAGCAAATACTGCATCATCTTAATTAATTGATAACCTCCTCATCTCTTGTTGAGGAAGATGTGCTGATCACTGAGTCTAGCCTGAAGTAAAGTTGAATCACTGAAACCCTGCAGACTCGCAGCCGTTCATAACACACAGTTTGAGATGTGTGATTTAAAGCATCACAAGCACATTGTACCAAGCCTAATATCTTGATTTTAACTGAACACCATTCAGACAAAAAGCAAATATAGTGCGCAATAAAATTTAACATGGGTATAAAACAGTGCATACAAAACAACAGAGCAACCCCTGACCTCAGGGGTAAGGAGGTACCTGATCACTTGTTTTCAGTCGGCTTATGAGTCCTGCTGGCTTCGTGGTCCTCATTGTCCTTGAGAAGCATTACCATCTCACCTTGGTTTTGACAATAACTATCTTGTACTCTCTGTCATTTCTTTTCATCTACTTCCTAGGTTGACTCAAAAATGCCAGAATAAAGATAAATAAAAGTAATAAAAGGATACCGGCCATCAAATTATTATTCTGGTTATTTTCTCTGTAGCTGTGTTTGGTCCAGGAGTACCTTCTTTGGATGACGATAAAACACAGCAGTCCAAGGCCAGCAAGGTCACCCCATGTGTTTCTGATCTGGTAATCATCAGCGTTACTCCCATAGCGGTTTCTGAGACGCAACAGTTGCTGTTGGTTTTGTCCCACAGAAAACTCTCTGATCTGTCTCAAGAGGTTAGTGGTGATCTGGTAGGTGTGTTCTGGATCATATGTCCTCTGATTTTCATGATGCTGTGTGATATACACTTGGTCGATCCTTGGCAAAGCTCCCCGTCCTGCGTTCTGCTCCCTGACACGAATGATGATCCTGTCCATGTTTCTTCCCATGTACTCCCTTTGGGGATGAACGACATAGGATGGAAGTTCAACAGGCGTTTCCTGATGGATATTGCCTACAGTGTAGTACTTGTATCTGCTTCCCCGAGGCAGTGGGTCCAGCATCCTCTCAAAGTTGCCATAATGATGTGAGCCGTAGTCTCCTCTGTTTGGGTCAAAGGTCAGCTGTATGTCATCATTAACGTCGATGTCAACTATGTTGGCAAACCAGTAGAGCAGCACAAGGATGTGCTTGGGCACATCTCGGCCAAAGTTGATTCTCTTCAAATCGTCGATTGAATTGAGTCTTTCTACAGCTGTCACAGAAGTCAGGGCAAAGAACAGAGCCACACAGCAACCAGTGACTCTTCCTGACATCTTCATCATCCTGTGTAGATATATGAAATGTTATTTCTCAGATTTTCCATCCTTACTGTACATTCTTAATCCATGTATCTGTAACTAGTGATGTATCATATGATTATTTTCATGATTTGATAGATATATGTTAAATTAGCTGACCTTATTTTGATGAAGCTAACTGTAACACCTAAAGGCAAGAATAACAATCAGGTCTCTCTCTCTAAAAACAATAGCAACAGTAAAACAGACTTTGCTTGTCTGTCTGCTCATACAGAGCAGTAAGAGTTAGGCTATTCATTAGAGCCACAGTCCTCATTCTGTGCAAACATGTTTTCTGAAGTTCATTTGAGGTTAATATGAGGCTTCAGCATCCTGAGTTCATCAAATCAAGTGAGTATCCTCACAAGGAAGACTTGATTCAAAATGCTTCACCAATCATGTGGAATAGTGTCATGGTAAATCAAAAACTAGCGTTTAAAAACTAAGAGCTCACCTGCGTTGGTCTGCTGCTGCTGTCGGGGGTCTGATCTCTGTGTTGTTTGTGAGAGCATGCACAACTCCTTTAAGGTTACTGTTTCGCTGTAAACGAAACTGATGACAAAGCAAAGCTGGAGGGAACAGGAAGTTTCATGATACAGCGGTTTGGTTTACACCTCCTGTATTCAAAGAGAAGTGCTACTCCCTTCCGTGTTCTGTTGGAGTTTACCAGTCATGTGCCTGTAGGAATGCAAAAAAAAATGATAAGGAATGATTCCACAAATAGAGGAGTCATTCTGTGGCTAATGACAGTGAGTGTGTCCTTTGGACTGCAGGGGGAGAATCAAGAAGATTTGTAATAGTGCCTGGTTTATTATTAGCCACTATATACATATCACAGATCAACTTCAAATCACAGTGCACGCATGTTTTATAGGGTGCATTTGTATGATTTGTTACTTTTCTTAATTCATATTTTCATTGTAGAGTTATTAATTCCATGGAAGGTCATTGCTCAGTATTTACTCTCATCCTATATTTACCATGACTGTCATCTGTTATACTAAAGTGACCTACACCAGCACATATCTATGTCACAGCTGTTGATCACCAAACTTTAGGGATCATTGCCTGAAAGCAGAGTGAAATATATGTGACTATAATATTGTTCTCTTTAAAGAGTTACTGGCAAAAAATGTGGTGAATTTGGCATTTTGCTTTTATTGGACAGTGCACGGTAGAGTGCCAGAAAGGATGACCTTCAACAAAACATCCCCAGCTGGATTCAAACCAAGTACATATTCTGGTGCAAAACTGTTTTAACTTCTTTGTTAGACAATTTAGATTATTACTTTATTAAAAGCGATTTTGCTCAAGAAACAAACCAAATTCCACTTCAAAGTATGATTGGAGATAATAAGCTATACAAGGAACTAGAATTTAATATGGATTCAGTAATAGTACAAATTAGATCTGCAATTTAAAGTATTGAAAAACTGTCAAAATGAGGCAAATGTATCAAGATAGGTAGCCAATGGTAGAAATTTTAAACCTCCAAAATACATTTAAGGATTTAAGCAATGGGAAGGATGGGGGGCTGGAGAGGAAAATAACAGTATTTTGGGAAATGGTACGTAAAGAGCTAAAGCACATACTAGGATTAGAGGTTCCTAGCAGTTTTTTGGTGCTTTATCCCTGTACATTTTAGTGATGGATATTTGATCAAAAAGTTATCAGTAGGAACTGGGGTAAAGAAACACCATCAATGAAGGACCAATAGCCAACAATTGTGGAAGACGTCTTTTTAATGGAGAAATTGACACACAGGAATGAAACCCTGAAGGCTCTCAGCTCTTCATAGCACATGGTTTGTATCTCAATCTTAACCAAACACCATTTATAAAACCGATAATACAGTTTACAGTAATTTAAACCTGGACACAAAACAAAGCATACAAGAAACAACTCTTTGTTGTTGTTCAGGGGTCTTGACAGACACACATCACGTGTGGAGATACTTCACTTTCCTCCACCGTGTCAATGTGATGACGTCGCTTTTTATATTTAACATACAATTGTATCATAAGAGCAGGTATAAAAAGTAAAGAGGTGTACATTCCCTTTGTACAAAGACACAAACAGTGATAATCAACATACAGCTTAACAACCAAAACAACTTACAAAGACAGTACAGCAGACTAATCAGTACAGCAGCATATCACCAAAGCCACAACAAACACTATAACACAACCCCTTTAAACCACAAAAGTTGCTTCAATCAGGAATAAGTACGAAATGGATCCTCTTAAGAACTTCACGAATGGACCCCATATTTTTACAAATATATTGGACGAACCACACCATGAAATGATTTTTTCATTATCTAAGAAAATAAAGGATATCTCTTATCCAGTGGGTATGAGACAGAGATATTACATATTGGTCCATATTACTTTTTAGCCAACAGGGTAACAGAAGCTATAACGTCTTTTTTTTGGATTCCTTATCATCCTTAAAAAGTGCAATCATCACACCTTGGTTTAGACATTAATAAAGACCATTGCTCTCCCTTATTTCTTAGAATCTGCTTCGAATGAACAAAAAAAAAATTACTAAAACTAAAATGGTTATAAAAAGGCAGCAGCGCACGCAAGCACCATCACACAAATCATTTTGTCTGGTTTCCGGTGTGTTGTTGGTTTCCGGTCTGTTTGTGGTTTCTGGTCTGTAGTCGTTTTTTGGTCTGTAGTTGTGTTGGTTAATGGAGTGCTTTTCTTGGATCACAATAAACAGTAGCAGTCCAAGGCAAGCAAGTTCATCCCATATGTTTCTGATGTGCCTTAACAGGACATCATCAGCGTTACTTCCATAGCGGTTTCTAAGACGTGACAATTGATGTTGGTTTTGTCCCACAGAAAACTCTCTGATCTGTCTCAAGAGGTTAGTAGTGATCCTGTAGGTATGAGCTGGATCATAAGGTGTACCCTGGTATTCAGAAGTGTCGTAATGCTGTGTGATATACACTTGATCTATCCTTTGCAAACCTTGCCGTCCTGTGTTCTGCTCCCTGACACGAATGATGATCCTGTCTCTGTTTGTTCCCACGTACTCTGGTGGGGGATCGACAACGTAAGATGGAAGTTCCATGGACGTTTCTTGATTGAGATTTCCAACAGTGTAGTACTGGTATCCGATATGTCCCAGAGGCAGTGGGTCCAGCAGCCCCTCGTAGTTGCCGTAATGATGTGCACCATAATCACCACTGTTTGGGTCAAAGATCAGCCATATTATATTGTTATTGTCGATTTCAATTGTGTTGGCAAACCAGTGGAGCAGCACAACACTGTGCTCGGGCACAGCTCGGCCAAAGTCGATTTTCTTCAAATCATTGATTGATTGAAGTATTCGTATAGCCGACACAGAGGTCAAGGCAAAGAGAAGAGCTACACAGCAACTGGTCACTCTTCTTGACATCTTCACCATCCTGCATAGATAATTAAAAAGTTATTGCTTGCATCACTCACTCATACTGTATATTCTTGAATGTATTTTCAACTAGAGATGCATCTAATATACGTGTAATTGATGAAATAAAGGATAGTGTGACAATTAAAAGTCAGGCGGCCATATGAACATTGAAACCAATTTGTTGTTCTTAGAAATGCCTATTGCGGTCAATTTTGACACCCATTATCGGCTACCTAACCGGTGAATTTATAAGGAGAGAAAAAATGTGAAAATACAAGAGTCTGATTGATTCAATGAGCTTTAGCGCTGCATTTCAAAGCACTACCCATTTCTGGATGGCGTAATTGTAATGTTTTGTTATATAAATGTCTTGCCTTTTAATGTTTTTCTTTTTCTATCGGCTTTGCTCAAAGGGCTATCAGTGATAACAAAGCTTAATGCTTAAGGGGAGCGAGCATTCACAAAGAAGACGAGTTAAATGCTCCACCAGTAGTGTGGAATAGTGCCACGGTAAACACCAAAAACAAAACTAATGATAAGAAAATAAGAGAGCTCACCTGCGTTGTGTATGCTGTTGTCGGTTATCTGAGCTCTGTGTTTGTGAGAGCATGCACAGCTCCTTTTTAAGTTTCGGTTTCACTGAAATGAAACTGACAACAAAGCGTTGCTGGTGGTTACAGGAAGTTTCATAATACAGCTGTTTGGATTGCCTTCTGTATTCAAGAAAAGAAAAGTTGTACTCCCTTTCAGTGCTTTCTTGAGGTTTACCAGCCATGTGTCTGTAGAAATGCGAAGACCTCACTACTTTTATCTGCAGGTTTTAGAGGAATGATTCTGTAGAGAGGGGAGTTATTCTGTGAGTCATCTGGGAATGTTATGGGCAGGTTTAGGATGATAACTTGCCGGAGCAGGTCCAAGTTTAACAGGGAGTGTGTCCTCTGGACTGCAGAGTGAGGAACTAGTAGATTAGTGGCTTATTATTAGCCATTATTTTTTTTTATCACAGATCCATTTCAAATTGCATTACGTAAATGTATCTTAGGCTACATTTTTGTATGTTTTGCTACTTTCCTTATTTAAAAATTTCATTTTTGTGTAATTGTAGTTTCCATTGAAGGTCACAGTTCACTGTTTACTCTTATCTTATACCATAATTGCCATCTTAACCAGTAAAGTGACCTACCCCAGAGCACATGTGGCACAATTCTTGATTACCAAATTTAAGGGATCATTGCCTGAAAGTTGAGTGAAATATTGGTAGGTAAACTAATGTTAGATGATTGTTTTTGTTCTCTTTAATGCTATTGTCAGCCTAAACAAGGTGATGAATTTGGCTTTTTGCCTTATCAGACAGTACACAGTACAGAGCAACGAAGATGACTTGCAACAAAACATCTCTAGCAGGATTCAAACCAGGTATGCAGTGGTTTTAGACCACTAGGTCATCAGGATGCTACTTTTTTAAAAAACTTTTTTGCTAAAATTGATTGACAGTATTTATCATCCATAAAGGAAGATATTTCTATCCTTTTTTAAAGAGTTTGAATACAAATTCTGGTGCAAAATAGTTTTTGAGACTACTACTTTAAGACATTTAAGATCATTAAATGCCAGTTAATCAATTGGCAAAATAGCAGTTAAAAAACAATATTAGGCCAATTTGTTCTACAAAGCTGATACCTCCAGATATCAGTAATATACTAACTGTATTTGGGTCTCTCCTGTAATTGTCTGTAGAACGAGGAAGAGTAAAGTTGTCTTCGTGATCTTACACATATAACTTGTACTCATCCAGTTTTCTTGATCTTAAAATAAAAACACTGATATGGGTCTGACTGATAAATTATAGCTTAATAAACACAATTTCAACAAAACTGAAATAAAATGAAATCAATACAATTCACTCTTGTTTTTCGGTAATACATTATCAGTATAGGCTGTCCTTAACAGACCATAGAGCAGTTCACTTATCTGTTTTATTTATCCATGAGAACAATTTACATTCTGTCTCAGACACAGGATGAATCAGCAGGATGTCATTACTATTAGATTATATTTGCTGGAAAGTGACACAAATGAAGCCTGAAGCTTTATGATCTTGCCAGATTAGTGCATTGTAATAAACAGTAAAAGCCATTTTGCCTAGTTCAAATACTTTTGTAATAATGAACAATTTCTGCTTTTATTAACAAAGTGCAATTTAGTAAAGAGAGCTATGAAGCTTCACGTGTCCTGAAGACTCAAAGCCTTTCATAGCCCAGAGTCTGAGATCTGCCATTTGAAGTGTTTGGCTTTTTATCACATGCATGTTAATCCCAAGCCTGTATCTCAATCTTGACTGAACTAAAATAAAGTTTTATTGTCTCTTAGAGAAAAAAATAATGCAATACCCAATAAAATTAAAACTAAGGCTGCGATACATAAAATACAGAACAGCCTCTTGGTGTTGCACCGGGGTATTGAGATGTATTCACTGCCTGATTCTCTGCTCCAAGTCATGCTGCTGGCATCATGGTCCTCATTGTTGAAATCCACTACAACGTCACCTTGGCCTCTAAAATCTCTGGGAATGTTGGTCCATCTCTCTGAAGCACCGTCAACCCAATCATTTATTCTGTTTTCATGTCTGGGGTAGTTTACCGGTCTGGAGTTGTTTTCGGGTCTGTTATTGCGTTGGTTAATGGAGTGCTTTTCCTGGATCACAATAAACAGCAGCAGTCCAAGGCAAGCAAGGTCCCCCCATGTTATTCTGATGTCCCTTAACAGGAAATCATCAGCGTTACTTCCATAGCGGTTTCTCAGATGCAAGAGTTGCTGTTGGTTTTGTCCTGCAGAAAACTCTCTGATCTGTCTCAAGAGGTCAGTAGTGATCTGGTAGGTATGAGATGGATCATAAGGTGTCCCCTGATTCTCAGAAGTGTCATAATGCTGTGTGATATACACTTGATCTATCCTTGGCAAAGCTCCCCATCCTGTGTTCTGCTCCCTGACACGAATGATGATTCTGTCTCTGTTTCTTCCCATGTACTCCCTTTGGGGGCGGACAACATAAGATGGAAGTGGCATGGACGTTTCTTGATTGAGGTTGCCAATAGTACAGTATCTGTATCCATTTCCCCGAGGCAGTGGGTCCAACAGCCCCTCAAAGTTGCCGTAATGATGTGAGCCATAATCTCCTCTGTTTAGGTCAAAGGTCAGCTGTATGATATTGTTATTGTCGATGTCAACTATGTTGGCAAACCAGTGGAGCAGCAAAAGACTGTGCTTGGGCACAGCCTTTCCGAAGTCGATTTTCTTCAAATCATTGATTGAATTGAGTTTTTCTACAGCTGTCACAGAGGTCAGGGCAAAGAACAGAGCCACACAGCAACTGATGACTCTTCCTGACATCTTCACCATCCTGTATAGATATTTAAAATATTATTTCTTCCATTATTCATCCATAGTGTACATTCTCAGTCCATATATGTATTTGAAATTGGAGATGCATCAAAAATTATTAACACAATGGCCCTCATCTACCAAAATATTACCAAGATTTTTCCAAAATTTGTTCTTAAGAAAGCTCCTAAGAAAAGTCTACCATAGATTCATATGTGCTTAACTTGCAGAATTGTTTGCACCTGTGTTTTTAAAAAGTTGAATACCTTGCCCTCCATAAGTTCAAAGCACATGCCAGTTGATCCTAATTTGCAAACGACCAGCCCTGCCAAGGACTGCATGGTTGTGTGCACACGGAAATTGAAAAGAAAAGTTAAGAGAATTAAACCAAGAATGCCAAAAGGAGTCTAAAGAGGATGGAGCCCCAGACTCCACCAGACTAGTTCTGAAGTGGAGGTACTTCTGCAGGAAGGGAATGCCAAACAAGCTGTCAGTGTCAGTAGTGCATATAAAATAACACCAAAAAATTATGCATGAGCTGCTATTATTCATGCAGTGAATGCTGTATCCAGAAGGGATGCACAACTGATGGGGAAAAAAACAAAACGGTTTGATCTAAAATAATATATACAAAAAAAGAGGCTGCCCACTGGAGGGGGACAGGCTTGCCCTTGCCATCGTCACTCTCTGCAAAGAGATCTACATGGTCCTGGAAGATGTGTTACCTCTCCAGGGCAAGATCTGCAACATGTTGCAGCAGCAGTAAACGGGCCTTTATGTACTGCTCGGTGGAAATGGGGCTTTAGAATGAGACGTTTATGTCTACATATGGAGCGGGTCCTCTTCCATGGAGTCAGCCATGTTGTTTCTACAGTAACCTGGAATGGACAAATTAAACACTGGCTCTAGATAGGGCCATTAACCGTTTCATATTTTCGTGTTGACGACCGTAATTCTCCTACATGCTTAGCACATTGTAGAAGTTTCAGTTCAGCAAGCTTACTGCTAGATGCCACTAAATCCCACACAATGGACCTTTAGAAACTGTACTGCTTTGTAAAAAAAAATTAAAGCAGTTATTTAAAAACAAAAGGTATCAATGATGAAAATGTTATTGGAATTTAAATCCTATAATATTACACAACTGTAGAACTGAAGAAAACACAATAACAAATCATTTCGCACAAACATGTCCGCACTGTCCTCTTGAGTGTGTGTGTAGATACTGTTCTTACCTAAGCACAAATTCCAAATTAAAAAAAACAAAGTCAGAATCTTCGTGAAAACTGCATGAGCGAGTTTTAAGATTTGTTAAGACTGATTGGTAAATGAGGCCCATAGAAGACACTATTAAAGAATACTTGAGAAAAATCCTTTACCAATCATGTGATAAACTGCCATGTTAAATACTAAACACAAAAGCGATCAGAAAATAAGAGTCCTCACCTGAGTTAGTCAGCTGCTGTCAGGTATCTGATCTGTATATGTTGATCTGTGTGTGTGTGAGAGAGTCTTAGAGCATGCGCAGCCCCTGTAAGTTGCCATTATGCTGTAAACGAAAGTGGCAAAACAAGCAGTGCCAGCGTTACTGGGAGTCTGATTTTACAGCTGATTGGATGAACCTTCCCGATGTAATCAAGAAAAGAAAAGTTGTACTACGTTTAGGTGTTTTGTTTGGGTTTACCACTTGTGGCTGTAGAAAAGCAAAAACAATTTTTATGAAGTTTTTAGAGAAATGATTCTAGAAACGGAGGAGTCATTCTGCAAGTCATCTGCGATTTTTATGAGCAGGTTTATGATGCAAACTAGCCCGTGCAGGTCCAGGTTTGACAATGAGTGTGTCCTTTGGACTGCAGATTGAGGAACTAGATTAGTATTAGTGCCTGGCTTATTATTAGCCTGCATTCACTTATCACAGATCAATTTCAAAACACAGTTTATGTTGAATTTTCATTGTTTTAATTTCCTTTGAAGGTCACTGTTCAGTATTTACTCCTATCTTACATTTACTTTGACTGTTCTCTGAAATAGATAAGTGGCCTACCCTAGTCCTTATGTGTCATAACACTTGATCACCAGATTTGAGGAATCACTGCCTGAAAGCGGAATAAAATATTGGCAGGTATATTATTGTCAGATTTGTTTTGTTCGTTTGTTTGTTCTCCCGCGGTGTATTTGGTATTTTGCTTTCATTGGACAGAACCCAGTAGAGTGCCAGAAATTTGGGGTCGAGGGAAGAGAACGACCTGTATGAAAACATTCCCAGCTTTGTTGGAACCAGTGATGCTGTGGTTCAAAACCACTAGTTCAAAAGGACGCCCATTTGTTTTTGTTGTTTTCTGTTTTCAAGTGAATACAGACATATAAGATCATTAGGATGCCAATT